ACATAAGCGTAAGTGAGCAGTTAGCGGTGTAATGAATCGCAGGCCGCACCCGACGCGCAAATAAGCCAATAAAGCAGATAAACGGCATGCTGGGATTGCTGAGGAGGTCGCTCCGCCCCCCTCCCACCCCCGCCCACCCCCTGGCGTCCCTCAGTAGAAATCCTCCAGCTGAAAGAGAACCAGATTCTATTTCCCACCGGGAATCTGGTGGAAATCTGCTGATCAGTCTGATCATCTCAGTGTGATTCTCTCCCTAGTGTGAAAATCGAATGAATGAGATTGTCCTTGTGGTTCCATCTCGTGTTAAATCTACAGATCAGAGGTCCCTCTGGATCCATTCTGTAATTTGAGATTTGACATTCCCCCCAGTCCGATGTTGTGGATGGGGAGCGACCCTCCCCCAAATGCCTCACTTCAGCATTTCTTAAAGTTTACAGAAGAAAAGCTATATAAAAATTATTTTTAAAGCATCATAAAAGATAATTAAGCTTCTATTATACTACATGCGCACATATAGTTTTGAAAATGCATGAATAGTAATTAAAATTACCCTGTTACTCCTGCATGGTGACATTTTACTGCTTATAAGGGATCCAAATCGTGGTTGTTTATGAATTTAATTAGGTTCCTCGATGCTCATTTAAGGCTTCATGCTGTGATCCAGGGTTTGTTCTCTTAAGGGCCACAAGAGGGCACTTGCTTTTTTTGCATTGCCTCCCTTCTCACATAAGTAGTTCGCAGATGGACAGATGGAGTTCTGTGCGAATGCAGATGCGTATGTTTGCCCCTCGTGCTCACTGGAACTTGAGTGTTCAGTCACTCATACAGCTGGAAGGTAGCTGGTTCGGACCTATGAGTGTCCTCTCACCTGATCGACTGTGTTAGGACCTGCAGGCGTCCCCTCACCTGCCCGAATGTGTTAGGACCTGAAGGCGTCCTCTCACCTGCCCGACTGTGTTAGGACCTGCAGGCGTCCTCTCACCTGCCCGACTGTGCTAGGACCTGCAGGCGTCCTCTCACCTGATCGACTGTGTTAGGACCTGAAGGCGTCCTCTCACCTAATCGACTGTGTTAGGACCTGCAGGCGTCCTCTCACCTGCCCGACTGTGTTAGGACCTGCAGGCGTCCTCTCACCTGCCCGACCATGTTCAGCCACCTCTGACCTGAGCACAAAAGAGTACAGTTTATCTCATCTTCACAATAAATAGTATGCAGCTCTCAACGCTGCATACATGCACACACACACACACACACACTCCCTCCCTAGAGATGCTGTCTCACAGACTGGCAGTCCAGGAATTTCCCTACACACTGTCCATATATCCATATCTCTCTGTGGAGACTCTCCATTCATTTCTGTGGCCATAACCCTAATGCCAACTATGACACCCCTAACCCCCACCCAGCCCTAACCTTAACCGTAAGAAACCAAACAAAATACTTTTGCCATTTTTAGTTTTTTGATTACATTCTCAGATTTTTATAAAACTAAGGTATCCTTGTGGTCCCCTCAAGGTAAAAATTTACAGGTGTTTATCACATTGTGAGGCGATCTGGTCCCCACAATGTAATAATTAGGAACACACTCGCAGCCTGGTGCACTCACTATCTCCACACTCACTAAAGGCCTCCCACGGTCACGAGGTCATTCTCAGTGCGTGGGTCCTTTGCCTGTGGGGAGGGTTAGTAATGGTGTCTGCCTCGCTGCCGTGTGTTTCAGCGTAGTGAAGTGTAATAATCCCCCCCCCCCAGGTCAGGTGTGGCCTTTCTGCCTGCGTCTCCCCACTACTCCTATTCCCGTAATAAATCCCAGCTCCCGCATGGCACCCCCTCCCCCCAACTGGGCTCTGGCCTCTTGCTTTATGGCCGTTGGGAAAGGGGGCAAGAGCCCCTCAGCTTGGGCTGAATAATTCATGTAAAACGCATTTAATCAGTGCATATTCCTCCAGGCGGCAGCAGAGGGCGACGTTTTTATGGACTGGGGGAGAGGGGTAATTCCCAGGTGGGCCCGGGGCCTGACCGAACCCCAGACTGCTCCCCCGCCAGCACCATAACTGCAGATTTCACGGGCGGGAGTGATGCTTAGTGGGACACGTCCAGGTATTCATGTGGTCAGGTGATTGTAGTCACATGGTTTTGTGGTCAGGTGATTGTAGTCACATGGTTTTGTGGTCAGGTGATCCCCAATTCAAAATCCCAGTCATGCGGTCAGACTTCCTCGGACCGTCTCCATGTACCCGACCGTAATCATGACCGCATCTGTTTGCGTTTTTATATTAGGACCCAATTGCCCCCCAGTGTTCGCATATCGCCGCCGCTCCCCGTGGGTTATTTTGGGCTGAAAACGAGCCCTCTGGGGTTTGTGCGACCAGCCCCCATACCGGTCCCCTGCCTGGTGGCCTGCAGCTTCTCCAGTTACAGCACCCCCCCCTCACGGTGACAGTGGCGTGAGGATGGGCCCCGTGGGAGTCAGCGTCCGGCAGGGGGGGGGGGACTTCACGTCACCCCCGGCATTCACTGCCGCTTGTCCTCCCAGCAGGATTACACTTTCGCTCGTGTGTAACGCCCCCCCCCCCACCCCCCGAGATGTGGCTGCCCCATTTGAGCAAGAGCTTAAGTGTGTTAGTGACCCATCGCATGATGGAGGAGGGTGGGGAGTTGAGGGAGGAGGTGGGGGAGGGGAAGGTCAGGCTCATAACCCCGGGCATCCTCCGGGGCTGCCGCCTTGGCGATTCTGGGATCGGCTGGCTTGTATGGTCCATCAGGCCCACAAACAGCTGCTTGTGTTTGGGGGAGGGGGGGGGGCAGTGACCCAGGAACAGTTGAGGAGCCTAACCAGGCTCACTGCCTCCAGTTCTGGCCAGACAGGGGATCAGAACCAGTGCTCCCTCACCTTCACTGCTGGCACTGGCAATATTACACAAAACTATGTCAGTCATGTATTGAATTTTCCAGGTATGCAGAAGGTTTGGACGTGATAGCCCGTCCCACTTCTGCTGACGTTATGGTTCCAAATTCTGAGACCAGCTTTTCTGTGGTGCCGTTTTAGAACCATTTTTTTGGTCTAGGGCCAGTTTTTGCTGTGGAAATGTGTAACTTGTAGCTCCAGATTGGGAACTGGATCGGGCACTGCTGTGGTACAAGCAAGGTATCTCAGCGCTAAGCCCAGCACTGGTCTCTGGGTTTCCCTTTGAAGACACTCGTCTGACTGGTTTTGAGAGCCCTCTGTTTCCCTCTTGGGGGGGCTGGGAGGCAATAGCTCTGTAACCCCCCCCCCCCCCCCTTCACATATCCATACAAATCCGTTACACCCATAGGTGCAGGATGAGATTTTTAGTCGGAATGACCAATATCCTTTACTGAAGTTCTTATGTATCATCAGTAGCTGTTAACAGCTAACAAGCATGAACATATAGGCTGACTATAGTCACTCTCATGCTGTTCAACCGTTATCTGACACTGCATTACCACCAACAACCAGAAGGGGGTGCACGCCTGAGCTGCTCACAGAGTTTGGTTGCTTATTTTGTATCACATCAGTTAAGTTGGTTGTCACCCACTATGTAAATCTGAGGCTTTATGTGGTCTGAGGGTCTGTCACAGTATTCAACCAACCACAGAGCGAAAGTATTTAAATTTCATCACCAAGACACCGGAATAGCATTGCTTCAGAAAGTCCTGGAAGTCAGCGGGTTAACATCTGACGTAACTCATACTTACAAAGGACTGCCATAAAGCCTGTTACAGGCAGTCCCAGAGTTACAATTTGCAAGTAAGCATCTGTTAGGTTTTGTTATTTAGACATGTCAATAGTCACATTGCCTTTGGTTTACAACTGTTCTTAATTGGGTTGTTTACATAATTAATAATAAATTTCGAACCAAATTCTGCTTTGATTGTCCTCACCCCACTGTGCGTGTGATTCCCTCCCCAGGCCTGTCCTCCCCGACACTACGCAGCCCCACTGCCCTGAGGGTCATCAAGACGCGATACAAGATAGTGACCCGTCGAGGGCTCCCAGGGGCCACACACAGCCCATCATACAGCCCTGCTCTCTGCTGGAGGACCAAGAAGGTGCAGTGTGCCAGGTAAACGCAGCATACACACATACTCACTCACTCACTCACTCGCTTGCTCACTTTTACACACACACACACACACACACACACACACACACTCTCACTCACTTTCTCACACACACAAACTCACTCACTCTCTCACACACACACACACACACACACACTCTTGCACACACACATTCACTCTCTCTCTCACACACACACATTCTCTCACTCACTCACTTACTGTCACACACACACACTCAATCACTCTCTCACACACACCGACTCACTCACTCTCACACACTCACTCACTCTTACTCGCACACACACACACATAAACACAAATCAACGTCCTTCCAAAAACACTCTCCCTCTGACTCCCCAGTTCTGTCCTCCTCTGCTTCTTCTGCTGTCATTAAACGATGAATGCAGGTTTGAGAGGCGCTCTACTGAGAATCTGCGTCCGGCCATTACCGTTGCCAAAGCCACGAGCCTAAATTATGGGATGCCTTATTCAGAGTTCCCCGGGGAGCTGTAGAGGCCGGCTCCATTATTTAGCAGTGCTTTCTGGAGGGCCGCTCAGGCTGTGATGCTCTTACATCTCTGTACCTTCCTCAAGAGAGAGACTGCCTTTAGTCACTGCACCACCTGCTGTCCTCTTGGGGCACTGTCTGCACTCTCCACTGTCCACTTGTCTGCACTGTCGCTGTGACACACCGAGGGTTGGCTGGGTGTGAATTCGGGGGGTGGCTTTGGTTTTCAGATCGCTTGAACAGACACAAACGAAGCGGCTTGTTTTACTGGTCTGAGTAACGACTGCCCGGAATTAGCCCATCCCCCCCCCCCCACAACGTTTTGCTGTCTCCTTAATTACCCTCGTCAGAGGTGCTAACATAATTCAGTATGGAAGGTGTAATTACGCACAGCGAGTCTGTGTCTGGGAATAAGTATGTGTTAGAAAGCACAGAGAGGTGTGTGTGTGTGTATGTGTGTGTGTGTGTGTATGTGTGAGAGAGAGAGAGCTGGTTAGTTGTGCTGCCTGTTTGTTTCATCCTTGGGAGTTACAGGGTCAGAGGTCACCGCCATTGACCTGAGGGCCAGGCTGACCTGTGCTTGACCACAGTGACCATCTGATAGCACACAGGTGTGGCATTACTGCCTTGATAACCGCCTCGGTTTGGCGCGCTCTCCCCCCTCAGAAGGGGCGTGTGCATCAGGTATGGTCTCAGTCAGGGAATCTAGTGCCCTGATAGCCTGAGGAATTAAAAAAACAAACGAAAAAGCCTCTGTCGTTCTGATTGGTGGATGAGCCTACAATGTGACCACACCCCATGGGTGGTGCAGACAATGCGATGGCCCCCTTGTGAATCGTCCAATGAGACCATACGTTGGGGGGGGGGAGGCAACCATGCAACCACTCCTGTGTGGGAGGAGCTGGCCATGTGACAACCCCTTCATGGCCGGTGCTGATCATGTGACCATCCTCTCCCAGGACATGCCAACTCCTCGCAATCATGAATTTATGCCGCATCTGCGGATTCAACCAACCACAATGTGAAAATATTTGGGAAAAAAATCCAGAAAGTTCCAAAAGGCAAAACTTGAATTTGTTGAGCACTGAGCACTACATTGAATTCATGAGGACGGAGAGAGAGAGAGAATTTATATATTCTGTACGTATATTTTCTATGGCTGAATTGCACCAATATGGATTAAATTAATCCTGATTTAGACATAATGTAGAGTTAGTATGTCTAGGTTTAAACTGGTGGTTAATTAATCAGAGACGCGTTGCACTTCTTAATTTTAACCCTGGATTAGTTAACCCAATTTAAACTATGATTGGAATTGGATTCATTTAGGTTCAATGTCCGCCATGACGGCTTCAGACAAATGTAAACAAATTCATGATGCATCCAAGGCTAAATAAATTTGGCCCTAAATAAAGTTAACATAAATGTCTTGTGAACTTTTAAAAAAGTTATGCTTATGCCGAATTACTTTACTTTTTCACACACACCTTGGACATTAATAGAGCAGTAGTCCTTTCAATTATGAAAAAGTTCTCCATTGTACCACCTGGGTTAGTAATCAAAATAAGCATGGGAGATGCTGAAAGTTCAAAGGTTAAACATCATACATAATTTTATATGACACTACACCACCACACCAAAACAATGGAGGACAAATAAGTTATGTTAAGTTTGTTAGTTATTCGTTAGTTATTGAGGGATTGAATGCAATCAAAACGGGAGACCTGTTCTTTATATTTTATTTATACGACCCGTGCCATGTTCATGATTCTTATTAAATCTGGCCAGCAGATCAATCTTTCGTTTTCGTTTTTCCACAGAATAAAAATTTGTGTAACGTTATCATGCTAATAAGCGCTGGCAAGTTTCACAGCTGGCAACGGGGATATTAGATAAAAGTATACTGGTTAGGGATCGAATTTTCCGATGCAGAAATATGGAGACACAGGCAGAAATGTATTAATTGAGGCAGTAAATGTAATTGGGGTAGAAAAATAATTCCGTCTGCTCAGTTTTTGCTCCGCTGCGTTTCTTCTGCACTTCCATGTAACTAACATGCTAGCGCCAGTGCTTGGAGTCAACCAATCGGTAAGCTATGGCGGAGTGAAGGCGCCTGTTTCTGCAGAGGATGCCCATGAACCATCTGATAACTCCCCGTAACATAAAAATGCAGAGCTGGAGAAGTGGAGGTACAGCAGAGTTTCTCTCACTTCCATGCATGGTAGCTGGTCTATCTTTCCCACTGAGGTATATGACTCACACTTTTGTAAATCGATGCCCCTCGGAAAACTCAGCATTGATTTAAAATATTCAATTGTGTTTAACCTGTCTCGAATTTTCTTACATGGGACTCTTTCCACCAATCCCACCCAGCAAAGAAAAATAGCAATCTTGTCAATAAAACGGAAACAGGCCGAACATAAACCTCCTCAAGGGGTGGTTTAAATATGACTGCTAATCCAGCTTTATACTAGGTTTTAATTCACTGGTGCAACAAACCTGAATTTAATATAGGTTTATGTGCAAATTCAACTGAGATTATCAAAGGTTTAGATTTAACCAGGATTAATTGTGAACTAAATTCAAACTAGGTTTAAAACTAGGTTTAAAGTTAAGTTTGGTGTAACAGGTATTAGGAGATAAATCTTGATTTAATCCAGTTTAAAAGTTAAACCATGTTGGTGCAACCCAGCGTATGTGACACTGCAAATACTACGCCATTTCAAATAAGGCACTTGAGCCTCGCAGATACCAAGGCACAACTGTATAGTTACCGCTTAATTCCTACCACTAGGTGGCCATAATTTTGTGCTGGTGCCCAGCTTCTGCTAACACTGCACTGTCCCCACCCCTGCCAAACCACCAGGCCCCCTGCTCTGTAATATAGGGGGCAGGTGTGCCCCTCAGATCTACATTGTAGGCTCATTTTCATGAGCTTCAGTGCATGGGGGGGTGGAGCTAAACACAGCACTGCGCTCTGCGGATTCTCTCACTGTATTCACAGCACTGCGCTCTGCGGATTCTCTCACTGTATTCACAGCACTGCGCTCTGCGGATTCTCTCACTGTATTCACAGCACTGCGCTCTGCGGATTCTCTCACTGTATTCGTTTATTTTTTTCTTTTCTCAAAACAGCTAATCTGCACCTCAACTTTGTAACTGGAGTGTAATTCTTTAACAGCCGTGCCCCCTTTCTGCCAGTGTCTGCAGTGCGTGTCTTGTTTCACACCCCAGGCACTGCCATGCAGAGCCAGCCTGTTGGGTCTGGGCACGACACCAGCTGTTGGTCTGCTCAGAGGGCCCCTGCGGTTTAATGTTACCTCCCCCGCCCCCACACATCCTCACCCCAAGCGGGAGGCTCGACAAACAAACGAGGTCATTAAGACGACTGGATGGTTATTCGCTTTAATAAGCGCCATTAAAATTCAGTGTGTCAACAGAGCCGTGTTATCAGCCACCTTCCTTATAATGGGCTCTGCGAGGCCAGATTACACCCCCAGTAAGCGCAGGTATCGCCGGCCTGCATCTTTACTGCCGTATAAAACACATTTTTAATGCTGGCATCGGACCCGGCTGCCTCGTGCCACTGGCTTGGCGCATGTCTGCGTGCCTGGCAACACACGTGCGCTGTGCACTCATCTCGGAAAGGCACACTAAACACACACGTCATCCCGAAGGGGTAAATACAAATAACATGCAGTTTAAGGGTCTAACAGCAGAAGCCCCAGTTTCAGCAGATCTGATCTCAGGTTACTGATTGTTATGTGCATGTGCCCACCCCTGTAGCACTCAGAACCCCCTCACTGCTGGATCAGGCTGCAATCGAGGTGACCCCACCCCACCCCGTCCGCAATTCCCAGCATGCAGGATAATTTAGGCTCCCATAGGAACCCCCAGCAAGCAGGAGAAATTGGATACCGTCTCAGTCTCCCCTACATTAATAGTATCTGCAGTTGGATCCATGAAGCGTGGTCTGGGGGGGCATAGACCACCCATCTCGATCTGGATCATCCCGGACTGACTGCGTGTCCTGAGTAGGGCTTATCTGTTGTACCTTTGATCCAACTGCTGCATGCAAATTGCCATGTTAAATATCCAGTCCTATTAGGGAACAGAAGTCTACATTTATCAGCTGTGCGACTCTGTTTGACTCAAGGGTGAGAATAATGTTCTAAGTAATGCCGATGTAGCACTTTATTTAAGCCAGACTGCATGAACTTAACAGCAACAACACCCTTATTCTGAGGGCGGAAGCAGGTTCTGGATACAGGGGTTCAGTCTGGAACAGAGCTGTTCAGGGTTTCTTTAACCTGGGACTCAAAAAAAAAACAACATTCAGCACGTTCTGCGCAAGCCGGAGGTTGCGACAGGAGCTCTGTGCATGACCTCCCCCTCGCCACGTTCAGCTTGCCTGTGCATTTCCTGCGGCAGCAAACCGGCGATTGTGGCTGTATCGGGGGCACCAATTTCTGCACGTCGCATAAACCAAAGTCAGATAGATCATCACACGGCGTAATGCTGAGTCCCCCTTACCCTTACCCCACAGATGGGGATGCACTCAGTGGCGCCCCCCTTCTGTCTATCTGTGCGCCTTGCTTGGGGGATTTATTCAGATGCAGATCTTAGTGATTGAGTTTAGGCACACTGCCTCATGTGACTCGTCTGTAATAAAACACCCCCTCCCTTCTCTTCCTTTAGGACGCTGCTGCAGAACAGGCTCCGGACCCCCCCGGGGCCCCTCCCGGATCAGGGGGTGCGTCCGTGGAGGGGGAGGGGCATGCGTTGGATTGGAGGGGCGCTATACCGTGTCTCTGCCAACAAGCTGTGCCGCACGGCGTCCCTGGGCTCCCCCACGATCAGCACCCGGCTCAGAATCGGTGAGGAAGGAGCCGCCGGGGGCTGGGGTCATGTGTGTTTGTCGCTCAAGGCCTGAAGAATAATGTTGTCTCCTCCCCCCCCCACCCCCAACAGGAAGGAGCCTTGCTTCTCAGGACCTGCCAGCGTACACCTCCCCCGGTGGCCTGAGCAGAGGCTCCAGCACCAGATACCTGGCCAGGTGGGTGGGGCTTGAGCCAGGTGGGCGTGGCCAGATCGGTCATGACTCTGTTGTTATGCAAAAAGTACAAAGCATAGTAGGTTATGGACAGTGGGATGATGGACTTTTAAGGGAGATAAGCAGAGAACCTTTAATAAAGCCCTGATGACCTTTTGTACAATAGCAGAGGCTTTTAGGCTGAAAAGGGCAAGCTGGGCTGCACGTTGGGTCACCCGTAAGCCCGGCTCGCTGCCCTGCCCTCGGCCCCCTTGCGCTGTAACACGAATGCGCGTGTTTATACCGCCGAGCTCACATGTGGGTGTTCGTCCCGCCAGCCGTGCCCTCCAGCGCAGCCGCTCCGTCATCAGGCACGCCCTGCAGCGACACCAGCGCAGCAAGCAGTACTGCATGTACTACAACCGCTTCGGGCGCTGCAGCCGCGGAGAGGGCTGCCCCTTCATCCACGACCCCGACAAGGTGGCCGTATGCACCAGGTACGGCCTGCTCTGCTGGAAAGTCATAAAAATATTCACATTAATGGCATTCATACGTCCTTTTTTTTTTTGAGAAGTGACTTGCTAAGACCAGCTGACTTCTCTGAATGGCCGTTGCAGGTTCTTGCGAGGCACATGCAAGCAGGCGGACGGCACCTGCCCGTTCTCACACAAGGTGTCCAAAGAGAAGGTAAGCAGCAGATCTGAAGGTCTCATCATTAACACTGAATTTATGCACGGGGTGGTGTTCCGAAGCTCCGCCCCTGACCCCGCCCCTTGGCTACATCTTCCTTCTTGGAAGCCAATGTTTGTGTCACCATCATGGTAAACTGGTATGAGGGCAGGACTGAGCCCCCAGCCCAGGAGCCCGTGTAGTGAGACTCGGATGTGCTAACGTGTAAATCCCGTCCGGCCGCTGACTGATGGCGACGGCATAGAGCAGCTGTGGCCGTGGTGTATTGGGTTCTCGTGGGTGACCTGCATTCCCTGCATGCCTGGGATCCTCTGTTGGCAGTGATCCCCACCCCCGTCCCAAATGGGAGGCCCGAGTCTTCCTCACCCAGTACCGAGGTCCATTGAAAGCAGCCTAGTCTTCCTCCATCACTTTCTCTGCCATTGATTTGACCCGTTATTCTCATTTTTTTTTTATCAATTGGGTATAGGAGGGGCAGGTCTCGTCACTGGATTGGCCTTCCCGGTAAGAGCGATGTCTTTCTCCCTCCTGTCATCGGTCAAAATTAAAGATAATCTTTTAGGGCATCAACAGCAAACACAGGTGCCCCACAGTTCATGATTATAACTATTAATAAAATATTAAACGTTGAGGTAATTCAACGATAAGCACCAGGCTTGTAGGCTGTCCCTGTAAGGTGCACCTGGAGTGCTTTGGGAGAGACTGCAGATTTCTGGAGGATCTGGTTGCATTTCAGCTACTTCGATGTCGGATTCCTTATCTGTTTGCTCTGCCAGGTTTTTGATTTAGGGGTTGTGCATGAACCTTAACCCGGTTAGCTTTACAGGTATTTTGATTTAGTGGTTTTGCAAGGACCCTGACACTATTGGGTTGTCAGGCTTTGATTAGCTTTGCAGGTATTTTGATTTAGGGGTGTTGCAAGGACCCTGATACTATTGGGCTGTCAGGCTTTGATTAGCTTTGCAGGTATTTTGATTTAGGGGTGTTGCAAGGACCCTGATACTATTGGGCTGTCAGGCTTTGATTAGCTTTACAGGTATTTTGATTTAGTGGTTTTGCAAGGGCCCTGACACTATTGGGTTGTCAGGTTTTTTTTTTTTTTTTTGCTTTACAGGTATTTTGATTTCAAGATTTTTCCAAGAGCCACCACACTGTTGTGTGGCCAGGTATCCTGATTTAGGGGTTGTTTTGTGCTCCCATTGCTTGCTGGGGCATAGACTGCCCCAGGCTACCACAAACTGTGACGATCTCAGCCGTGAGGCTCTGATGGTGCTTTGCGGTGACAGTGGTGCATCACAGAACCTGCCACCTATCTCTGCTTCACTGCTTGGATGTGAGGAATTCCTGCCTGTTTATCAATCTGCCAGCCTCACTCCATCCCGGCCTGTCTGCCTACATTTCACTCTATGTACATCCAGCCGTTTGTCTGCCTGCCTGTCGGTTTGCCTGTCTGTCAGCATATCTTACTGTCTGTCTGTCTGCCTACCTGCCTGTCTTATTCTCTGTCTGTCTACCTGTCTATCTGCCTACCTGCCTGTCTTATTCTCTGTCTGTCTACCTGTCTATCTGCCTACCTGCCTGTCTTATTCTCTGTCTGTCTACCTGTCTGTCTGCCTACCTGCCTGTCTTACTGTCTGCTTAACTCCAGGCCCTACCTGCTAAAATTGAGTCTGCTTTAATGCCCCTTTTAACACATGGGTCTTGCACATGTGCAGTTTGGAAGTGGTTCTGAACCTGATACAGGCGCAGTAGAGAAGAAGCCTCACCCAGTAACCGGAGTGTTTCTCTGGCCTGCGAGTCCCTGGCGGATGTCTTCACCCCGAGCATATAAACGCGTCACAACATCTGTCCCAGGCCCTGCCTGGGTAAATATTTCTGTAGCAGTTAATTAGGCAGCAGTGACATGATCCTCCACTGAAAGCCTGTTTCAGGGTTTATATTTAGAGTGGCCTTAATGTCATACTGAGTACATACGGAAGGTGTCCCTGGATGGACACTATGGGCGGACGATGAAAGAATAAAGCTTCTGTTCGCCTGTCTATCCAGAGACTTCAGTCTGTCTGTCTTTCTGCTCGTCCCTCTCTATAACATTTGTTCTTATCATATATGTGAACACGTGTGTCCCACCCAGGATCCATGTGGAGCATGTGGGTGTATGTAATGCTGGGAAGAGTTGGAATAGCTTGATTGTACATTGAGGGTGGTAGATATTCATATCTGTGTTCTGATGAACCAGGTGGTCACAATCTGTGATAGCCAATGGAAAGGTAGAATACTTTTGAATACTAATGATGAAGGTGACATCCCATCCTCCCTCCCCTCACAGATGCCGGTCTGCTCCTTTTATCTGCGAGGCATCTGCAACAACAGCAGCTGCCCCTACAGCCACGTGTATGTGTCCCGCAAGGCTGCGATCTGCCAGGACTTCGTCCGGGGCTATTGCCCTCAGGGGGAGAAGGTAGGTCCCATCACGCCCCGTGGGCGTCCTCTCTGCCCCACCGGCCTTGCCGCCACTGTAATGCTTGGGAAATAAGGTTTACATTGAGCAATACAGAGGAAATGCAAGTCAGGCAAATCAGGTAAATCGGCAGAGCGCAGTTTTAATCTGGAGGGACCGCCGTTGTTTTTTAAGCAATGAAGATAAACCCGCCTCCTTGGAAAGCCCCGCCTCCTTGTAAAGCCCCACCTCCTTGGAAAGCCCCTCCTCCTTGTAAAGCCCCGCCTCTTCTCCGTCCACACTCGCCCAGGGTTCACCCACCCTGTGTCCTCCCGCTCTTTTTCCTCTTTTTCTTCCAGTTACCTCTTTCACGTCCTCACATTCTGCGGGTCTTTATGTCACAGAGTATCCCCCTCATCACCCCCCTGGACCACTTAACTGCCACGGTAACCGTGCTGTGGCTTCCTGATAAGTACCAGAGAGATTTCCCTTCAGATGTTACCTTTTCTGCTTCCTCAGCTCCGCGTCGAACAGTCTCTCTCTCTCTCTCTCTCTCTCTCTCTCTCTCCCTCATTCTTTGCCCCTTTTCTTCTCTCTTTTCTCCACTCCTCTTGATGCCAGGGCATGTTTTAAATATTCCAGTGGAAAAGGCGCGCGTGTAAAACAAAGGCAGTATTAATATTTATTCTATTATCCGAAGTGCTTAGTCTGAGGCTTCAGGCCGCTGGTCCCAAAGCGAGATGGATGGCAGCCCCTAATTATTAATGGGGGAAGTGCTGATGGAGTCGGCCCAGCGGGCCTCGGCCACTCGCGGGTTAAGCCCCGCCCTCTCGATCGTGCTGACTCGGCCCTCTTGCTGCCGCCGAAACGGCCCTAATAGACCCCTGGGATGCCAGCTCCGGGACTTAAATCAAGTGGGAGCCCATGAGCGTGCTCTCAGATGAAGATGTCCCGTCCACGGGAGATTAAGAGTATGTGTCTGTGCGAGTAGGTGTGCGCGTGTGCATGTAAAAAGCCCAGGAAGAGGCTGTGTGGGATGTGGTTTTACACACTGTACTTTGGGGGGAAGTATCTTCTGTTGCTGTAACATGGCATCGTCCCCAAACCTCCCCAGGCATCCAATACCTTAACCGTCATGCCACCTGCTGGCTGTTAGCTGCATAGCGAAGCCCCCCCCCCCCCCAAAGCCTGTGCTTCTACCACGGTCCTCCTTTGTCCATTTTATGGACAGTGGAGTTTGTGTTACAGGCAGGCCAGCTGCATGCTAATTCATAATCCATAGCCGTGAGATTAAAGTGTCAGGCTGATGTGTTTATTTGTGTGGCCCGGGTCAGACCGGACCCCCGCAGGTCTCCGTGTGTCCATCTACCCATGCGCGCATGCTTTTCTATATCCACCCGCTCTTAACTGAGCATATGTGACACGTAAACTATAACGAAATAGGGACATGGGGTCTTGGTTACACTCGGCAATCTTCGGTCCTCGTCTTTCTGGGTACATGGTGCATGGTAGGAAATGCAATAACCAACCAAGTGAAATTTGGCAGCAGTTGCCACTGCACAAGAAGCACAGCAGTTTAAGCAGAGCATGGAGGGCCGGCAGGGTGTGGTGGGGGGACTGGAGGGTGGTTGGCATTGGCTCGAAGTCCAGGGAACCTGATCCACTGCCCCACCCCCAAGAACTATTTTAGGACCAACCTGCTCCCTTTGGCCTGGACCCATATGAAGCTGTGATTACAGCCCGGGACAGGTGGGTGCTGGGCTGGGGCTCTAGGAGGTCTGGGTGCTGGGCTAGGGCTCTGGGAGCTGTGGGTGCTGGGCTGGGGCTCTGGGAGGTCTGGGTGCTGGGCTGGGGCTCTGGGAGGTGTGGGTGCTGGGCTGGGGCTCTGGGAGCTGTGGGTGCTGGGCTGGGGCTCTAGGAGGTCTGGGTGCTGGGCTGGGGCTCTAGGAGGTCTGGGTGCTGGGCTAGGGCTCTGGGAGCTGTGGGTGCTGGGCTGGGGCTCTGGGAGGTCTGGGTGCTGGGCTGGGGCTCTGGGAGCTGTGGGTGCTGGGCTGGGGCTCTAGGAGGTCTGGGTGCTGGGCTAGGGCTCTGGGAGGTCTGGGTGCTGGGCTGGGGCTCTGGGAGGTGTGGGTGCTGGGCTGGGGCTCTGGGAGCTGTGGGTGCTGGGCTGGGGCTCTGGGAGGTCTGGGTGCTGGGCTGGGGCTCTGGGAGGTCTGGGTGCTGGGCTGGGGCTCTGGGAGCTGTGGGTGCTGGGCTGCGGCTCTGGGAGGTCTGGGTGCTGGGCTGCGGCTCTGGGAGCTGTGGGTGCTGGGCTGGGGCTCTGGGAGCTGTGGGTGCTTGGAGCTGTGTTTGTTCACGCACAGATTAAGAAGACAAAGTGAGGTGCACAGGCAGGCCTAAGGAAGTGTTTCTGTGTGACTGTGAACTTTTCTGGGATTATGTTTCCGCGTGATGATGGCCGCATCTGTGTGATAACGGTCATTTCCTTGGAATGATGGCCACATCTGTGTGATGATGGCTGTTTCCTTGCGATGACGGTCGTGTCCATGTGATGATGCCCGCGTCCGTGTGATGATGCCCGCGTCCGTCAGATAATGAATCTTTCAGGGTAACACGCATGTTCCCATGTGCCCGCAGCCCCTCGCGGCCGCTCCACCTCTTACCGCTCTCTCTGCCCCCTCCCCGCAGTGTAAGAAGAAGCACACCCTGGTGTGCCCCGATTTCTCCAGCGCCGACGGCTGCCCCCGCGGCTCCAGGTGCCAGCTGCAGCACCGCCTGCCGTCCAAGCGCCCGGGTCAGCGCCAGACCTCCACACCAGCCAGGCGGAACCGCAGACTGGAGAGCCCAGAAAGGTCAGGGTGAGCCGGCAGGCCAGTGGCCCCGGAAACGCTAATGCTGCGTGGAGAGACACGCCTCAGGGCAGGACGGGAGTGTGTGTGTGTGTGTGTGTGTGTGTGTCTGCCTGCCTGTGTGTGTTTGTGTGTGTGTGTCCACACAATGTGGTTTTATTACCTGTTATATTTTAACCAAAAGTCTTATGGTTGTCATTTTTGGGATTATTTTTTGTGTAGCACTGAGAACTGCGACTGTAAATGAGATAAACTGCACCCTTTCATCCCCAGGTCAGAGGTGGCTGAATGCAGCCAGGCAGGTGAGCGGACGCCTGCAGATCCTAACAAGCTGCCATCGTTCATCTCCCTGTCCAGCTCCCCGGAAACACCTGAGCCATCGGACGCATCCCCTGCTGAGGGGCCGGAGGGCTCCGGTAAGGACCGCACACGTCTACTTAGCAGTCCAGTGTATAAACAACAAACCGCAGTGTTTCAAATGAAAGAAGAGCTGGCGTTCTGATTAAAGAACCAGATAAATACCCAGTTCAGTGGGCGTTTAAGATGGTCCAACAGACCGCAGAGGAGAATGTATTGCAGTATATTTTAGGGACACAGCCATGTAAATGTGTGTAAAGATGGGAGAGAACAGCATGAGGTTTTTGGGGGTATAACCCTCCGAACCTGCCAGCTCAGCTCCCAGAGGAGGAGGCGGTATTTGTGGGAAAGGAAAGCTACCATATTGGGTATCCACTGTTATTGGACAGGATCGGGGGCTGATGCTGGCTGTCCGGACCCCCTGGCTGCAGTTTGGGGCAGGACTGTGGGGAGCCCTGCTTCAGTGGCCTTCGGGGGGGCGGGACCCGGCATGGCTAACTCATAGCTTAGCAAAAGGCCCATAATGCACCTGCATTCGAACTTGGGCTATCACTAATGATTACATCAATAATCAAGTAATCTACTGATTAATCTGATGATTAATCAATTAATTGTTAATATATAATATAATATATACATTGCAGTTGCTGCAAGGAAGGAACCAACTAACCCTTGTAGGTTGCCCACTCAGTCACACATACAATCAGTTTAAGCACTAAGCACTCCAGTTTACTTAAGTTGCATGTTTTTGGACAGTGGAAGGAAACATGCACATGCATTTGTCACATCGTAAGTTCATGCCATTTTCACTCAGTCACAGGAAACAAAATTTAGCAAGCTTTGCAATTTTAATGATAGTTCCGTTTCATCATTATCTAGTACAAAACAAAACATGCAATACATTCACAAAAAATAGTTATATGATTATTATGTACTGTATTATGTAAGGTGACAGGCTATTGTTCGTTTTAGCAGTGAAAATTTTGACATGCAGGAATCGTAGATTAGAATTAAGCAAAATAATTTGTCAATGTGATGACAAAGACAGTCTAGGCCACTCCAACAAACTAAGTGGCTAACTTTGGATTATCGGGTGAGCCCGTCAAACCTGAATGCCTTCATTTAAGATGCACTCAATATAGACAAACATATTGGGACACCTGGCTTTTACACTCACAGGAACTTTTATGACGTCCCATATTGAATCCAAAGGAGTCAATATGAAGCTGGCCCCCCCTTTGCAGTAATAAAGCTGCCACTCTTCTGGGGAGGCTTTCCACAAGATTTTGGAGTGTATCTGTGGGAATTTTTGCCCATTCATCTAGAACAGCGATTTGTGACACCAGGCACTGATGTTAACATGAAGGCCTGGCCTGCAATCTCCATTCTCGTTCCTTGCTCAATGGGGTTGAGGTTAGGGCTCTGTGTGGGCCAGTCAAGTTCTTCGACACCAAACTCACCCAAACATGTCTTTATGGACCTTGTTGTGTGTTCTGGGGCACAGGAAAGGACCTTCCCTTAACTGTTCCCACAAAGTTAGAAGCATAGAATTGTCTAAAATGTCTTGGTATGTTGAAGCATTAAGAGTTCCCTTCACTAGAACTAAGGGTTTTAACTCATCCTCTGAAAAACAACCACATACCATCATCCCTCCTCCTCCCAAACATTACAGTTGGCACAATGCAGTCAGGCAGGTAATGTTCTACTGGCATCTGCCAAACCCAGACTCGTCCAAAAGACTGCCAGTCAGAAAAGTGTGATTTGTCACTCCACAGAACACGTGGAGTCTAGTGACAGTGTGCTTTACACCACTCCGTCCTACACTTGGCATTGCGCTTGGTGATGTAAGGCTTGCATGCAGCTCAGACATGGAAGTTCTGGGCTGGGGCTGACTGACTCATTGCAAAGGTGATATCCTTAAATTCACTTAGCTTTTCAAAACAACCCATTCTTTCACAAACGTTTATAACCATGACTGCATGGCTAGGTGCTTGATTTTATACACCTGTGGCAAAGGGTCTGAATGATGCACTTCAATTCAATCTTAAGAGGTGTATCCCAGTACTTTTGCCCATACAGTCTATATTGTCATAATGCTTTGCAATACTGACAGACGACTGCATTCTTATTTACTTATAATGTGAATTTCTTCCACTTATTATTTGGACCCTCTGTGCTCCGTCTCCCTTCCACCATATTGCCGAGTAAAAGATTTAATATCGAGGCTTTTTAATAATCAAGAAATTAAGTTTAATCAAGTCATCGTGACAGCTCTAATTTGAACCTTTGTGCCAGAAACATGGGGCCATTCTTAAGTTTGATTAGCTGAGAGAAAAAGGAGCATGTTTCTAATTACGTTTTCCCCCCCTATAAAGACAGGTCCTCTTTAACGGCTGTTCCTGAGAGGAAGCTTCAGATTAAGCCTCGTTTCTAGAATGGGCACAGGGCGTTTCTGGAGGATGACTTTCCACAGCTCCGCCTCCAAATTTTGCTGTGGCCCCTCCCCCTGGTATGTTAGCCACGCCCCTTTTGATATTGTTATTTTACTGTCCTGTCCCATGACAGGCCTGCTCACCAAATGAATTTTAATTTATAAACGCTGAATTAAAAGACAAATAAAGATTTTATTTATATATACTGTTGATTAAAACCTGTCTCTGTGATGTTCTGTGGTTATGATGTAGATGGAGGTCGTCCTCCAACGCTCGAGTCATGGCGTAATGACGTGGTCAGTGGGGTACGTGTCCATCCTTACGAAGCGGGCTGATCTGATTCCCTGGAGCAGTCACCATGAAACCTCGCCCTGAAATACCCATAATTCAGCCAAATTAAATCCTGCAGCGCCGCAAATGTTTCTGGACCGGCAATCCTGCGCCCCCCTCCCGGCACGCACTTGGGGTCCTTGCGAGGGGCCGGAGACCATGGCTCCCTGCCTTCGCTCCGACCGACCGACGTGCTGAGCTCTGCAGGCTTTAATTAAGGCCAATATTTCAAGTTTTAGTTAAAGTGAGAGAGAAGAGGGGTATGGGGGGGGGGCGGGGAAACTCACGGAAACAAAAAAGGTCAACTGTAATTTTTCTCCCCTTCGACGGCTTGCAGAAACATAAAAAAGACAAACTTATTATAGTTCCACAGAGAGGCTGTCCCATCAATAACGATCAGAGCTTCTCCGGGACTAGTGATTCATTAGCATAACCGAGCCCCGCCCCCACCAGCTGTATCTGCCAGGAGGTAACGGCTCCGCAGCGTTACACCGAGACCTGGCCGAGAACGGGCACAGGTCTGCCGGACCACTGCCAAGGAGGAAGACGTCACGATCGAGGCACGTCGGGCTACGCCAGCGGAAATTACAGTCTCCAGTAAAGAGACCCACGCCCTATGGGATCAAAATATGCACATTTTATACCACACTTCCATCCGCACTGACCCAAAATTTTAGCGGTCTGTGGCCGCGTACAGGACTGGGAGCCGCCTGCAGCCTGAAAGGCCGCAAGAGCGGAGACCGTAGCGGGGTGAGTTACGGGGCTCCCTTACTGCTCAGTGGCTGCTCAGATCTCTGGCATAGATCAAGATGATTCCATCATTTCTGCGCCATTAGATTCCCGTCTGCGGTATGTACAGGCTTTGCACTTCCTGGTGTGATGGAGGTTTTTACAAACTAACTGCTAAACTGGAGAACAGAGCCATAAAACGCACCATCGGACTAAGAGCGGATGACAAAGAGGGGCTCTCCCGACCTGAACGGGGGGTGGGGGTAACCCAGGGTGTCGTTCGCTAGCCCCGGCATGCTGATGTCCACTTTGCCTAAATGGGCAGAAGTGCACCAGCAGCGAGGTCTTAATACGCGGAGCCACAATGAAAACCACTGACTTCAAAATTTATGTCTCAAGCCGCGGCTTCCCGCTTCTCGCTACAGTAAATGGCCTGAGCCTGATCGTCTTAGAAAATGCCATTTCAATGCGGACTGCTTAGCTTGGACTTTAAGGTCCACTCCTGCTTATTTGATAAAAAAAAAAAAAAAACCCTAAAACGACTTTCGCGCACCTTAAACTTGAAACACTTTGATGCGATTTCCGCTCCATACCTTACTTACTTTTCCTATATCGCCAGCAAATTTTTCGGCAGGTGGTGTGTATTTTATTAATGCGCTTCTCTAGTGATCAACAGATTTCGTCCATCTCTAGTGCTTCACGTGTTCAAGGTGCTAATTGAGAATCACTGAACTCGAACTGACCAAAAACGATAACGATAATCTGTTACTTCTGAACTGTTTTATTCTGCTCTTTCATAAACGGTGTACATGGCCCCAGATATACTGGGGATCTTGAGGGTTGACCAGCCATATGTGTATAATGTTATATTGTGGCTGTCCCCTTAATTACACATCCCCCCTGATTGTTAATGAGTTGACGAAAAAAAGCGCGCCCAGAGGAGCTGAAGTCCCCTTTGCCTTGTTTCCCATTGGCCTGGGGACATACAGATACATTATGCCAGGGAATTATTTATGATAATGGCGTATATGTCATACGCTACTGAATCCAGCCAGATTTAGATCAGTTTCAGAAAAGCCTGAGCTTCACATTTTGCCTCTGCTGCCGTCTTAAGGAGCACAAACCAAAAATAAGTGGCTTTAGGACATATTCATATAGCCGTCTGTGCGGGTTTAGAAAAAACACCAATAATCTCTAATGCAAAATCATGCATTTGTTATTATTAGTATTTGTTGAATTAATATAACATATGCAATAATACCGAAGTTACATTTCTGCGTTAGTAATTATACTTTAAAAGTGAAAATTGAAACTTTTGTTTTACAGTTTTAATTAAGTTTTTAATGCATGAAATCGTATATTGGCCAATATTAGTGCATATTAAAATGTTTTTGTCGTCACTATTAAATAAAAATTCAGGTTATCTACGTAGCTTGTATTGATGATTGTGAACAAAACCTATATATATTATTCAGTTTATTACATCGTTTTTACCATAAATCCCGTTTTTTTCACCATATGAGCTGTGATTTGTTTTGTGTGTGTTTTTGATTAGTTTTTGATTGTTACTTTTGTACAATACATGACCAAAGATGTTTTGCTTTGTGCGTAGGATAACAAAATAAAACTTTAGTTATTTTAATTCAGTTCCAATGTAAATATATTTTTGACCCAAATAAAAACAAAATACGTCCGTTAGTTGGTGAAGCCAGCAATTAAACTGAACAGACGATTTTTAAGAACGTGTTATTAATTTTGCAACTTAATACGTGATCTGTGTTTCAAGAGGAGAAGAGTTATACGCTGAAATTCCTTAGTCAACTTTATGGACAATTGCCATGGAGGTAGAATTAAACCGCCCGCCAGCTACACAGATCTGCAGCTTAACGCCTTGTTGCTGAATCTCAGAAACCTATATCGCCTTGTACAGGCATAACTTGTATACATATGACTCTCCGAAATATGCAATAACACGAGAATAAGCCTTTGTTTGTGAATGAAAAATAAAGCCATAATTTTTAAGAAAGCAATGATTGTATGTTATATTTTAATATGATTTTTACCATTATTACTTGCTAATGCGTTGCACTAATATTTCGCTGTAGACACGCTGAAATGATTAGAGACCAAATTCCTGGGATTGTGCTGGAAATCACTTCTGCCCTTGCTTTTTGCGGTGTGAGAAGACAAAGTTTCAAATTTCGAACACGTTTTTAGATATCCAATAGCTCATTACAAGTCATTTTGTTCATTATTCACTAACAAATAATAAAGATTATTTTGTATTTTTAAATATTTCTGTTTTCGTGCGAGATCTACATTTATATTTAGTTAGTGTAATGTAACATGTTTTTAAAAGTTAAATGTACAGCTTATACAACCCGAGGTAACGTAAGTCCACGTAATTCCCATCCCTGCAAAACTGCTTCAGGCTGCCTTCTCTCACCTGCAGCGTTGCCTCCAGTTGTAATTACATAATGCCTGTCGCTAGAGGGCGGGCCTTCGACTGTCCCGAAAGCTGCCGCGCGTTCTCTGCTGCTCCCTGGCTTGCTGTAGGGAAATGCACACTTCGCTGTCACTTCCTCCGATTGGCTCCTGACACTCCAAATGGGCGGGTTATAGAACTCCGCTATCTATAAATAAGCAGACTACCTCTCCAGCACTGTAGTGGCTGTGGTCTGAGACGGTCTGTTCGGCAGAAATGCTCTAGAAACTTGTGTTAGGGACTTCTTTCTGCAGACATAACGGCAATACAGATTTCCCATACAAAAAGCACTGGATACACCGCGTCCATATCTTTATTTTGCATAAATATTATGCAGCGTCGTAGACGTGGATTCCAGTCGTGGATTAATTTAAGCGAACCAGCTTTGATTTTAACGAATCGATAATTTCACTTTTTTATTGTACCATTCTTCTGCGGATCCTACAGGACTGGATTTTAGCCAACTCCCGGGCATGTTTATGACAGCTGGCAGGTGATTGCCCTGCAGAAAGTGTTGTTTTTACTTATTGCTATTTTTTGAAGGACACTTTGTGTACTACTGACTTTCCCATCGAGAGGTGACCCACAATCGCATGCTTCCGATGATCGGCTCGGACTTTTAAAAGTTCTGCATTTACGTGATATTTTGCTTGACGATTAACGGAGGCGAAGACGGATAAAAGTAATGAGCTAACGAAAGGGGGGGGGGAACAAGGCGAAGAAAACTATCCGGTACTTCCAAAGACCCAAGAGCACCCCAAGCCCGCTGCTGAGTTTAAGCGAGGACAAGACAGGTTTGTGTTTCTGAATGTAACATCTTCAAGTTTCAGCCGCTCTGCCCGACGGACCAAAGTGTGCATTTGACACGGGATAAGTTGTCAACAAGAGCCGCGGAGGCAAACTGGCAGGTGCTCACCTTCGGTTACATGCATACATATATTCGCGACACTATAAATAGACATTGTTTTAAGGGTTGACGAGTTATCTGCGCACGGCCCCGGGCGCGTGTGCGCGTGTGTGCAAGGGCTGCACTGTGCGGTCCTCCACCACACTGTCCGCTTTGGCTGTGAGAGCCGCTGGAATCGCATGGACTGACATGGCCACTGACCTCGCCATGAGCGCCGAGCTGCCCAACAGTCCCCTGGCCATCGAGTACGTCAATGACTTCGACCTCATGAAATTCGAGGTGAAGAAGGAGCCCCCCGAGGCGGAGCGGTACTGCCACCGCCTGCCGCCTGGGTCCCTCTCCTCCACCCCACTCAGCACCCCGTGTTCATCCGTGCCTTCTTCGCCCAGTTTCTGCGCTCCGAGCCCCGGGGCACAGAGTGTCCAGAATCCCGGTAACAGCCTCAACAGCAACAACAACAACAACAGCAACATCAACAACAACCAAAACTCCACAGGAAAGCCCCAACTAGAAGACCTTTATTGGATCCCCAACTACCAGCACCATCTGAACCCAGAAGCCCTTAACCTAACGCCCGAGGACGCTGTGGAGGCCCTGATAGGCAACGCGCATCACCATCATCACCACCACCACCAACCATACGAGGGCTTCCGAGCGCAGCAGTTTGCGGGGGAAGACCTCTCAGTGGCATCTAATGGTCACCACCATCACCAAGTCCACCATCACCACCACCATCACACTCATCACGTTCGCCTGGAGGACCGCTTCACGGACGAGCAGCTGGTCAGCATGACCGTGCGGGAACTGAACCGGCAGCTGCGCGGCTTCAGCAAGGAGGAGGTCATCCGTCTCAAGCAAAAGCGCCGGACCCTCAAGAACCGGGGCTACGCGCAGTCCTGCCGATACAAGCGTGTGCAGCAGCGGCACATGCTGGAGAGCGAGAAATGCACCCTGCAGAGCCAGGTGGAGCAGCTGAAGCAGGATGTAGCACGCTTGGCGAAAGAGAGGGACCTTTATAAGGAGAAGTACGAGAAGCTAGCTAGCCGGACCTTCAGCGTAAATAACAGGGACCCCTCCAGCGGCAACCACGGCAAGCCCCCGGCAAATGAGTTCTTTATGTGAGAGACTGTACAAATGCACCGATCTCAGTCGTTTATTGACTTTTTTTGTTTAGACATTAATTTAAGGAGACTTTATATGTAAAACTGAACTGTGTAAATTCATTTTATATATGCGCACATTGCGTACGCTCCTTACACACGTGCGCATGTATGTTCTGTACAAGTCTGAAGAGGATACTGAGTCATGAACGGAAAAAAGACTTGGCAACTGAAAGGGGATTATCGTCCTAATTACACGTTAATAACATTTAAAAGTTCTGATGCAGTAGATACAGCTGTTTAAAAAAATCAGTTTTCAAAGTCTTATGAAAAAATAGCCAAAAGAATATGCGTATAGATTATGACCCGAGTGGCAAATGCTAAATCTCTTCCAGTCTTAATTTCTCCATTAGAATGATTATTTTAAGCCATTATAATAAACTTTTCGAGTATGATGTTAAGGGAAATAACGGATGATAAACTTTTTCTCCATTCCGGACTAATAGAAGGAAAAGCAAGAAAAAAACGAAAAAAAGCAATACATGTTCATAGTCGTCCGAAGCAGTTTTAGAGGACTGTCAACATGGAGCAGCGTGCACTTTGCGTGATGTGTCTTGGACGTTGCAGATCGACGCAAATCTGCGCACTTTCAACAACCCTGCATGCGGGACATGTATGGTTTTAAATATTTCAAAGCCTTTCACTTGTCCCCCAGTTCGTCTGGATGGGAAGCATGAACCATGGTTCTTTTTTCTCTCTTCAGCTTTATTAGTCTCGCCTGCTTTCTCAGAACGGTTTAGCAATGCGAAAACATAACGTACCAACAAGCGCGGAATGATGTACTGTCTTGAGGAAATGCGACTAACTGTAAATTACGAGACGTGCTGCGTTATTTCAGTTGTTTCTGTTGTTTGAAAGAAAACATGACAAACTGAGCCAGATTTTAGGGTAATTTATTTCCACTTGTAAACATATCTAGCGTATTGTTAGAGTGTTATTTCAAAAACTTTTTTCTTAATTGCTTGACTCTTCAAAACGTCTTAATACAATGTTTGTATGTAACAGCATGCAAATACTCTGCGATAATCTCATTCTATTTATTATGTGCAATTAACGAAACTTAAGCACTATATCCAAAATTATTGTCAAATCATGTTTTATATTAAACGGATCTGTCGTTCCATTGTTGTTATACAAAAAGGTGTAACATAGTAATGACATAGAATTAATGTAGATAGTAAAAAGTCTGCAACTGCTGCTAATTCCCTATGCACCAACTATATTTAAACAGATTTTTTACTTTGGGAAAAAGTGTATTATACGACACGGACGCTCTCCTGGAAACGGCTACTTTGGGGATGTCCGCGGTCGTGCTTGAAAAAGTATATCTTCCAGAACTAAGTCTTAAAACGGTGCTCAAAGTGCTTGTTTAAAATTAACGTGTCTTTCCCTAAAATAACACCTGCAATGGAATGGAAGTAAATTCAATCTATGATACCGTCAATAAATATTTCAAGGACGAAAGTTCTGCTCTTTCTGCTGCAAATATGTAGTGCAATATTGTATATAGGTATGAAATTACTCTGTGTATGCCGAAAAATATCATATCATAGCTATGTTTCATATTTTCAAAACCTGACATTTGGCGTCAAATACAAATACAACTTTAAAAACCAATTTCAAACTGTTTTATGCTTTGTTTTCTATTCAGAATTGGTTTTTTTTATTATTATTTTTATTTTAGTCAAAGGTTACGGGATGCCATTATGATTCAACGTGAAAATACCAATCAATGCCCAAGAATAGCCAAGTCACCGTTTGCTATCTTGTGCCCGAAACAATCTTACACTTCTTGAATAATGAACCTTCATACTTAAAAGTACTCCTGTAAAGTTTATGCCATTTTATGTTTTTAAATATTGTCATTCGACTGTCATTCTCTATTCATTTAAAGGTGGCATAATCTTTTTCGAAAATGGATTTTAGATTTGTGTAAGATACCTTTAACATTAAATCATACAAATCAAAGCCTATCTTGAACAAACGCTATGCGATTGATGTATATACATCTGTACATGGGAAATATGCATATAGACTTGTACA